GTCTTGTTGAACAGAATCTTTAGTACAGAACAGATGTTGACTCTGTTTTGAAGTGGTGTATTGGTTTACCACAGCGAGACAAATTTATACTCTTTACAATTTATATACAGAAAAATTCTAATAAAACATTGTGGTGTCATTGAAATAAAAATTTAGGAGCTTCAAAGAACTGCAGTGCGGATCTCTTTCCTTTTTAGTACAATATTCACCTGCTGCAGTGAGACGTAGATCTGCACAGTTGTGGTAAAACACATTATTGTTGCGGATTAACATTTTCTCCTGTGAAACACTTCAGCTGAAATGGGGACGCGCAGCTGCAGCTTCATAACAGATATAAAAGTCTACAACTCCGCTAAATATTTAGTTTGTGGCTGACGTTAAATTCAAGAAAATCAAGTCAACAGTCGTAAAATAAGAAAAAAAAATGTAAAAAATGTGAACAGTTAAACCACAGGGACACAGACATGTTTCTCACTGACACAGACTTCGGATCAGACGTGTTGAACTAATATTTCTCTCCTTAAAGCGACAATATGACACTGATCTCTGTTCTAATGTCGTTTACTCGTCACAAACAAACCTGGAGTTGTGTTTTGTTTCATTCACACACGTTTAACACACAAACCTGCATATTTAGACCCTATCAACACTAGTTCGTATTGGAGTTTTCGTTGTGGATACAGTGTTCGTTCACACTAGTCCAATGGAAAACGGCTCCAGAGACGGAACGATCTGGTGCCTCCAGCTCCCACGAATTCATCTGAGTGCAGATCTGATCCGGCACCGTGTGGACGCCTGAAAACACTGATACTCTGACGTAGGAGCTTTAGTTGCGTCCTTATTGGACCACGTCACTGTGACTCGCTCCTTCCTGATTCGCTGGGTTCGTGACATCGGCCATGTGACGCTATTGTGGAAAACAGTTTAAACAAGTATGTCGGGTCTTGTTCTGGAGTGAGGGGAGGACGGAGCGTGAGATTGACAGGTGGACAGGTGCAGCGTCGGCAGTGATGCGGTCGCTGTATCGGACCGTTGTGGTGAAGAGGAGCTGAGTCTCGATTTAGCGTCAGTCTCCATGATACAAGCGACACAAATGAGTTTCCTCCGCAGGGTGTCTGGGCGTCTCCCTTAGACATAGGGTGAGGAGCTCAGTCACATGGGAGGAGCTTGGAGTAGAGCCGCTGCTCCTCCACATCGAGAGGAGCCAGTGAAGCTGGCTCGGGCATCTGTTCTGGATTCCTCCTGGGCGCCTTACTCAGGAGGTGTTCCGGGCATGTCCCACTGGGAAGAGGCCCCGCTGAAGACCCAGGACACACTGGAGGGACTATGTCTCTGGGCTGGCCTGGGAATGCCTCAGGGCCCTCCCCCCCCGGAGGAGCTGGAGGAAGTGTCTGGGATGATGGAAGTCTGGGAGTCCCTGCTCAGACTGATGCCCCCATGACCTGGCCCCGGATAAGCGGAAGAAAATGGATGAATGAATTTTGTCAAAACCTTTAAAAAGGAAAAAAACAACAACATTTCTACAACACTTATATCCTCTGTAAATACTCATACATAAATGGATGGATGGAGTTTAAACAAACCATAGACAAACAACCTCGTCGTTAGTCCACGAAGACTTTCACACTTTCCATCTTCCTCGGCTCGAAATCGGCTGCTGAGACTTCAGACACGGTGCGTTGCGCAGCGTTTCAGGCGGTTTCATGTTACTGTGTGAAGGGAAGGTTTTGATTCGGACACAGAAACAACATGTCTTGACGCAAATTGTTTCCGATACGGTGATTTGTTTCAGATAAAAAACACTCCAATGTGTTTTTAAACTCCACACACCTTCACTAGAATCATGTGGATCATTCCGACCTTGCTGTTTCCAACCTTCACTGAACTAAAGGTGAAAGTAGCTGCTGAACTTAAACTACCACTTCATGACATCATAAGGTGGAATAGAGCATTTTGAGCTTTGGAGATGTAGACAGATCATAGACGGCCATGTTTCAAATACAAAGTTCGCATGCGACTCTTCCAGCTGGTTTTTCGCCCTTTATTCCGACATTCCTTCATTCCAACAACCCGGTATTACGACATCCCTCTATTTAGACGTGCCGGTTTTCCGACACTTTTTGGTATCGCTATTCCGACATTTCTGGCCTCAAGGGAATGCAGACTAGCAATTTTTGAGAAACACTTCATGTCGGAAAAGCGGAATATTTGAAAAATAGTAAAATGTCGCTACTCCGACAATGAAAAGAAAGAAATATGTGACCTTTCCGACTTACACTGGAATATTGTGGCTCCTCTCTGTTCCTGCTGCTGTGAGCCTCGACATTTTGGTCTTAAAATGTTTGTATTAAATCACGACACATGATCGTGGTGGGTTTTTTTGTTATTATGTCCGCCAAAAAATCCAATAGGCGAGTTTCAGCTGACGTCATTGTTATTAAAAGCCCGCGTTGCATGTTGGGAAATATTTTGGTCGGAGGCAAGAAACACGGTAGCGTCAAACACAGTGCGTAACCTCGCGTATTTCTCCCCGATAATGGTAAATTCCTGCTGCTTTATCGGACGCACAAATAGAAGCACTGAAGAAGGAAAATGTTTTTTTCGTATTCTGAGTGAAAAGAACCACTAACGGTGAATTAAACGACTTTCAAACATTCGCAGAGCAAACGTAGAAGATCCTAACAAACCGTGGACTCCAACAAGTTCAACAACACATCGAGACTCTTGGAGGTTTTCATCTTTTCTGCTGTGAATGGCCCAGGAGTTTCCACCAAGTCATTGTGGATATCGCCCAAGTGAATATTTGTCCAGGTAGTTGGAGATTCTGACCAGAAGTTTGGTTTGGTCCACCTTTTGTCGGGGTTGAAAAGAGTGATTTGGCTCCATCAGTGCTTATGACTAATTTCTTGGGTCCTCTGCCGTTAGAGTGGATAAATAACCGGGATCAATACCCTTTACGTGCTTTCTCGCTCCGTCCGTCATGTTGAATTAGTGTTTCTTGCCGCCGACCAAAATAATTCCCAGCATGCAACGCGCGCTTTTGTCAACAATGAAACTCGCCTATAGAGCCATCGCCAGCTTCATTTGACTGGAGCTGAACGCACAAGTCTGTGTGAAAGAAACAAAACACAACTCTGGGTCTGTTTTTGATTTGGTGACATTATAACACAAGAGTCAATTTTGCGTCATATTGGAGTTTTAAATAAGATGTTTCTGAGCGGACGTGTTGAGGAAGTCAGTGTTGCTCCACGTCCAAAAAGGACATAATTTAGTGTGTGGTGCAGCCTGTGGTTCTCCCTTGGTTCATTGCGAAAGTGACTGTCGAGGCAAAACATCTGATTTATAATCTGAAGTTAATGTGATTTGAAGGACAAACATTAAATTATGAAAAACATTCTGGTATTCAAAAGTCATACCACAACAATGAGGCAAACCAAACCAGATCTGAGGGAGCTACAAGAAACACAAAAGTTTAAATAATTTCATATACATGCATCCCAAATTTCGGACTTCTGGTCATCGTGCAATTCACACCGGGAAGGATCCTCTGAAAAAGTGAGCATCAAACCTCCATGTTTGTTTTCCCAGTGGGATGTGTCTATTGTCAAAGTCGATCTTTTCAAGTCTTTTGAACCATATCACTTTTGTTTCTGGTTCTGATATTGTCATATTTTAGTTTTGGGATTCGGACATCGTAATTGTGTGGTTGTTGGATCCTAACAGCGGAAAACGACTCGAGAATTTTTTGCAAACTCCATAAATGCAAAAGTGAATCAGATGTGTGTGACTCAAACCTCTGTTCAAACTGTTTCTCTTCCCAACAGAATTGAAAAATAGTGAAAGGTGAAGGTGATGGGCAGGATTGATCCACAGGAAGAACCAAAAAGGAAACATTTGTCTGACTAAGAAATCATCCTGAGTTTACAGAGAACATTTTGTATGTGGAGCGACGACAAAACAAAATCCCGATCCTCAACCTCGGTTACGAATTTAAAAAGTCAACGCCAAAGAGAAAGGCTCCAACTGTTCACCAAGAAACACCTTCCACTGCAAAGAGACCAAGACGTGATGTTTCTGTAAAACCACAAGAACAAGAAAGTGCAGCTCAGTCTGTTTGTCTTCTGCTCCTCTACATTAACAAACGGGATTTTGTTTTGTTGTCGCTCCACATACAAAATGTTCTCTGTAAACTCAGGATGATTTCTTAGACAGACAAATGTTTCCTTTTTGGTTCTTCCTGTGTAAATATGAAGTGTTTTCATTGTGTTTGGACTTTTAGATTTAAATAACAGTTTCAGTCTCTCGTATCGCTGCAGTACTTTACCGTGTCTGTATCTCTGTCTGTGGGTTTGGGAGTCGTGTTGTGGTGAGGCCGATATTGAACAAATACTTGATTTATCGGGCGTTAACGTCCCTAAGTTTGTAACGGGAGAGAAATCATCACATTAAATGAAGTGCAAATTTCAAAAATGAAAGTGGCAGCGTTTTCATAAGATGAGGGATGATAACACGTTTCAAGCTCAGACATGACATCAAATCTGAAGTCCAAGTGGGAGTCGTAAGAAAATCAAACGCAGGATCACACCTGAACTTCACCCCCAACATTTCAAATACTGTAAAGCTGCTAAAGTAAGTAAAGGAAGTATCTGGAGGACTAAAGGGGAGAGTGAGGAGAGGAGGGGCGGGGTCTGGGGGTTTGGTTTTGGTTCGAGATCGACACTTCAAACTCCGTCCCTGCAGAGAGTTATTTGTATCAGAAACACTTTAACCGGGCCAGTCATGTGTGTTGTCACATAGTACTTGAAATCGCAGTGGCTTTTGGAGGCAATGTACCTGTAATGTACCTGGTTTGTGCTAAAATTACCCAAAATCTGAAAAAAAAAAAGACAATGCACACACACTCTATACACACTCCAGTATCAGAAAAGTTGATTCCGAGTTTCGTTTGGCTTTAAGGAGGTAATACTCGATCCAAAAGTGCGGCGCGTGAATCCAAGTGCCTGAGTGGACGGAGAGTGCGGAGGATCGCTCTGCTGCTGCTGCTGCTGCCGCCGCCTGGAGCTCGCGTGAACCCAGCTCTCACACTCAAACTCTGCCTCTGCAGTTTCTCGGCAACTGGCTTTGTTTCTGCTCATTTCCACGGTAACCAGAGCGGGATAAATTTAGCCGCTTCACCTCTATATGAATAAAAGCTGGAGTCAATGACAGAGCTGCGTGTGCGTGTGTGGGATTGTGGTTTTCTCAGTCCAGCACAGTCTCGAATCGACTGCATTTTACAATCGCCAAAACACGAGGTCGTCTCTGCGCTGAACACGGAGAATGATCCAGACGCATTACCACCTTTTTACACTGCCCATGTTACGCCATTTTCTGATCTGTTATGATGTTTCCTCTTCACAAATCCTGCACATTTAAGCTGAGTTCTTCTCTTAAACTGAAAACACTGTTCCACCTTGCGTTTTTAAAATCCATACGCCTTCATTAAAATCTTTTTTTTCCCATTTCTACTGAACTACTGCAGCCTGAAGTGACCCAAATCCGATTTTTTGGCCCCAGTGTGACATGTATCTGATCTTTTTATGACAGTCTGAACGTCACAGATCCGATTTTTTATTTTTATTTTTTCAAATGCAACCCAGGACACTTGGATATGTACGGAAGCCGAGAGGGGTCACAACAAACGCAAACGCCGCAACAAATACAAAAAGCCACAACACACCAAAAAAAGCCACAACGGAAATGACCGCGGGACTCGATTTTAAAGGTTGTATAGAGGATTTTTTTAAGGGAAGAGAAATACAGCGACAGTCCTTGTGCGCATTCAGAATTACTGTTGAAGTTTCCTGTCTAGAAGTAATTCAGCGACCGACGCGTCAGTTTTTAGACCCTTCGTCTGCTTCGGTCGCGCCATCGCTGGACGAGATCTCCAAGAATCACCTCAGTTTGTCTTCGCTCCTTTTCCTCTTCTCTTCTTCTTTCAGCGACCTCAAAAACGGACTTTCTTTGGCGGCGAACCGGTCGTGGATTCTCGTCCGCCGTCGCGACAAACTTTGTGCGAAATGCGAGGAAGCGACAGTTCAAAAAAGCGTCTAAGAACCGCTGCGTAAACCACGTAATCCCCGCGCTCCGACGAGTCAGTTACACTAGGGAGTTTGATTGACAACCTAACAGCCAATAGAAAATGAGGGAGCCTCGTTTTCTATTGGCTGATGTTTATCTGGCCTCACTACGTCCACAGTTGATAGATTTCCGTTCTTTTTTTTTTTGGTCATCATAATTACAAAGCTGCTGCGTCTCTGTAATGGTATTTTAATCTTTCACTGACAGTTTGAAACTAAAAAAAATCCTCCATACAACCTTTAATGCAAATGCCGCAACAAATACAAAACAACAACAAACGCAAATGCACAAACACAAAAAGCCACAACACATTAAAAAGCCACAACGGAAGTGACCGACGGGATTTTTCCGACGGACCGATCAAGCGGCAAGTGAAGAAGAAGAAACTACAACGTGAAACGAATAATGATAAACCAATAAATTACTTTTACCTACGTTTCCGACTTCTCCGTTCCTTTACTTTTCACGTTGTAGTTCTTCTTCTTCACTTGCCGCTTGATCGGTCCGTTTTTAATGTGTTGCGGCTTTTTGATGTGTTGCGGCATTTGCGTTTGTGTTGTGGCGTTTGTGTTTGTTGCGGCGTTTGCATTAAAATCGAGTCCCGCGGCCATTTCCGTTGTGGCTTTTTTTGGTGTGTTGTGGCTTTTTGTTGTGTCGTCGCATTTGTATTTGTTGCGGCGTTTGCGTTTGTTGTGACCCGTCTCGGCTTCCGTACATATCCAAGTGTCCTGGGTTGCATTTGAAAAAAAAAAGAAAAATCGTATCTGACTCTCCGACCGTCGCCAGTCGCTCGCTCAAACGTGGCGGTCCTACGGCGTGGACGGAGTGTCTTGCCCGAAAACACAACAGAAGCACGCACTAGTCACGCCGAAGCTATGTGGACTGAAAATGTTCCACCGAAAAAGTTGGAGAGCGTTGGAAAAACAAAACAATAGGGAAATGCAAAGTTCAAAGGTTTTATATCTTATCAAACCCGGAACTTTGTCGATGTGAGCGGCGAGAGCTAATGCGTCTTATCTCGGCGGTTTATCAGCCGAACGCGGTGCAGATAACGTGTGAGAACGTGCGGAACTCAGACCCGAGTGCTGCTGCTGCTGCGAGCCGGGCTGCATGGAAAAAAAAAGCTCCGGATCCAGTGACAAAAAACAATGTTATCTGCAAAATCCAGCGTGTTTGCAAAATCCAGCGAGCGTGCCAAAAGTCCAGAGACGTAGCCAGAAAGTTATGAAAAAGTGGACGCGCACGATACGGCTTTTTCAGACCGATTTTGATCACTGGGCTTGAATTCGTCTTACGTAATACGATGATAATAAAGTTCGAATACAGGTCGAATACAAAATATGATCAGCTCCTCAGACAAACAGGACAGATTTATGTATAACTGCTTTAAAAGAAATCATTAGAAAGTATAAAAATCAAAAGTTGTCCGCTCTAATGTGCTTTATCGATGCATCTAAAGAGTTTAACGACTGGAAATTGTTTCAGAAAATGAGTCAGAGAGTTGTGCCTCCGTTTATCTTGAGAATGTTAGGTTTTTAGTTGGTGTGTCAGACCTGTTCACTGTCAGTAATGGACTCAAAGAAAGAGGAGTTCTGTCTCCCATTTTGTTTTGTTGGTATTTGGATGATTTGTTGTTAGTGAGATGGGGGTAAAAAAAAAAAACATGATCTTGTGTTGAGCCCAAACAGTGCAGGTCTCCAGGAGGAACTATGAATGTTTGTTCCAAGTTCAGTATGGCATAAAAATATATAAATGGGTCGGTCAAGTGTTAACGGAGGGAAACAGGGTCAGATTTTTGACATTCAAATGTCTCTTATTCAGAAACTAGAGGAACTATTGAAATAAGTAAAGTATCAGAATGTAGGAAAGAGTTACACTCCAACAGGGTCAAGTTAAACCTGTGAGATTCTTTCAGGTTGTTGACAAAAAATTTAAAAACTCATGTCGGTAACGGAGGGAATGAAATATGCAGCACTTTTTGGTCAATAAATCCAAACAGTGATAACTCTTGGTTCTCACTTACATATCCTTAACAAACTGGTTTGAATATTTGCTTCATATAGTTTTCTACCATATGGTACAAGATTAGGTTGAAAAACCTCTTACTTTTTGACTCATGAGATTTTTTATTAATAAAAGTTCATGGTAACAGAGGGAAAAGTAACGGACGGAGGGAAAATTAACAAACAAGTAGAAGGTGCATGATTTTACATCATTTGTCGCTTTTTTCTTCCGAAAACTTTAATATTGCTTCAAAATGAAAGGAAACTATTTCTATAAAATATGTCAGTCCTTCCAAGCAAATTTTTATCATTTTAAATACTTTTTTTTTTAAATCCTGTCCCTTCATCAACAGTTCAAAGATGGAATAACACAAGATATGATGAAATACATCCATTTATTTACATGATTTTGAGGTCTTTGAAATTTGGGAAATAATTTTTGTTCCATGTTTCATACATGGTTTGTTTAAAACATATGTGATTTTAGAACCAAAAATGGTACAGAAAAAAGGTCAACAGTTTGATAAACTAGAGTACATATGTATCTGTTCAATACATTTTTATATCAGATGAATTCACTTGAATTTTTGCCCTTGTTGTTTACTTCTGCTGGACCGGGCCCATATATATAAAATATGTGCCGGTAAAAGTGTAATAATGGTCTGTAGAACTAAGGATGATAAATATGTAAAGTTTCCTCTGTTTGTATTGAGGTAATGCTTTGACTGTGAGTAACAAATACAAGTATTTGGGACATTTTTATCACAGATGATGAGAACATCTCCAGACGATGTCTCGCGATGTTTGCACAGGGTAAAGGCTGAAGTACAGTTCTGCGTCGACTCACTGCCGCTGTTGCATTTTTGATTTGTGGATCTGCGTCGAGGTCTATGCAACACTAAATAATTCACCCCCACAGCGCGAGGAGGCGAGGATTTAAAACTGGTGTTTGTGTTTACAAAATTAAGTGAGAAAGTGGAGCACTGGAAATGTATGAAGAGCGGCTGTAGAGACGACCAATCACAGCCCTGATTGTCTGTGTTGCTTTCCCCTGCAGACGCTCGGCTGAGGGGCTCACGGACACAGACTCTGCATCGTCACCACTGTCGAGCAACAGACTTTAAAACTATTGCATCAGAGTTAAGTTCCTCTCATCAGAATAACTGCAGAGATGCTGAACTTTTGCACCGTATGTGGACTCAACCAGGTCTAAACCAGGTCTAAACCAAACCAGACTCTAAACCAGGCTAAACCAGGTAAACCAGACTAAACCAGGACTAAACCAAACACTAACAGAGGACTAAACCAGGTCTAAACCAGACTAAACCAGGCTAAACCAGTCTAAACCAGGTCTAAACCAGGACTAAACTAAACCAAAACCAAAACTAAACCAGGAACCAGACTAAACCAGGACTAAACCAGGACTAAACCAGACTAAACAGACTAAACCAGGACTAAACCAGGACTAAACCAGGACTAAACCAAGACTAAACCAACCAGGACTAACCAGACTAAACCAGGTCTAAACCAGGACTAAACCAGGACTAAACCAAACTAAACCAGGACTAAACCAGGACTAAACCAAGACTAAACCAGGACTAAACCAGGACTAAACCAGGTCTACTAAACCAGGACTAAACCAGACTAAACCAAGTCTAAACCAAGGACTAAACCAGGACTAAACCAGGACTAAACCAGGACTAAACCAGACTAAACCAAGACTAAACCAGGACTAAACCAGGACTGAACCAGGACTGAACCAGGTCTAAACCAGGTCTAAACCAGGACTAAACCTAGGACTAAAACCAGGACTGAACCAGGACTAAACCAGGACTAAACCAGGTCTAAACCAGGACTAAGACCAGGACCTTCTCTCCTCTTTCCACTCCTCCTCTCCTCCTCCCTCTCTTCTTTTTTTCTCTCCTCCTCTCTTCTTTCTCTCCTGTCGTTTGGATTTGACTGTCACGCTCCTCCTTTGCCTCGTCCTCCAGCACTTCTCCATAAAACATGTGACAGGAGCAGCCGACAGGAGCAGCCGACAGGAGCAGCCGACAGGAGCAGCCGACAGGAGCAGGCGACAGGAGCAGGCGAGCAGGACAGGTGGACAGGTGGACAGGTGCAGATCACGGCCGTGTCACTGCTGCGATGTGGAAATCCTTCATCAATAATGCAGAGTCTCCTGCTCCGTCCTGACACCGAGAAACAGAACAGACACGACGACACAGAAACTGAAAATAACGAGCAGGTTTAAGTTTGGTCAAAACTTTCTGCACAGTTTTTCTCCAGGTTCTGAACTTTTACATTTCCACACAAACTTAGACGTGTCCTGATTCTGTTTGGTTCTGTTTTTAAATCATCTGTGGACCCACTGCAAGTCTGAAATAAAACATGAATGATTGATTGATGGATTGATTTGGCAACACAGGTTCAGTGAGGACTTTTTTTTTAATAGGCCTCCAGATTATTTAGGCCTAATTCTCTGGGTTTCCTGAAACACATACTAGGCTACTTTTTATTTATGAGTTATTATTTGCGTAGAGTGAGTCCCAGTTTTAAGCGTTTAAGTGCCCCCTGTCCCAGCAGATTTATACAAAACCACTGATATGCCCCAGTTTTATACAACAAATGTCCCAAGTGTCCCTATTTTTGACCAATTTTATACCTGCTAACAGTAAAGAGAGACATAAATTGACGTTAGTTTATGAAAAATACAGAAAAGCTGCTTAAAAATGACCAAAACACCAAGAAAATGTGACTATACTGACTCACATTAGTTTTGAGTAAGTCATGAATGGGCCGAGTGCGGAACAATTCTCCTTAATTACACACTCGTTTAAATTCTGGTCACCCTATAAAAAAATAAAAATAAAATAATAATAATAACAACAACAACAACAACAACAACAACAATAATAATAATAATAATAATAATAATAATAATATCATATCATCATCATCATCATCATCATCATCATCATAATTTGCATCTTTGACTTCCGACCGTGGGGAAGTTTGACGGTTGCTATGGTGACACTTATGCACTCGTTTAAATTTTGGTCACCCTATATTTACGTAAAAACAAATACATAAATAATAATAATAATAATAATAATAATAATAATATAATATGTTATTAATATTACTATTATTAATGTATTTTATTATTATTATTATTATTATTATTATTATTATTATTATTATTATTATTATTATTATTATTATTATTATTATTTATTATTATTATTATTTATTTTTTTTGCGTCTTGACTTCCGGCCGTGGGGAAGTTTGACGGTTGCTATGGCGACACTTCCGCTAGCTGCCGTTGCTAGGTAAACACCGCTCACGTTTGAGTGCGAAGCTCATTTCAGCTCAATTTTCTTCACAAATCCTCCTCAAAACTCCCGTAAACATGAACGAACACCCGGAGCAGGAGGCAGAAAAGCGCACGGCGTCTAACTCGAGAGAAGAGGTAGCAATTTGCGCTTTTAAAAAAAGCTAAAAAGTCGAAATAAAAAGTTGATTTGTGCTAAATGTGTAAAGTTTGCACGATGTTATAAACTTATGTGCAGTGTTGGGGAGTAACAGATTACATGTACCAGAGTTAAGTAATCAGAGTACAAATTATGAGTAACTGTATTCAGTTACAGTTACTGTTTCAGTGAGTGGTAATTGGATTACAGTTACTTTGTTGAAATAAATGGATTACACAGAGGGATTTTCCTGTTTTCACATTCTCACATTTTGGGCTAAATCCCACGTCTCCTTCTGCAGCCGGTCTCCTGTGCGTCTCTAAACCAGAACTAACACCAGGACTAAAACCAAGAACTAAACCAGGACTAAACCAGGACTAAAACCAGGACTAAACCAGGTCTAAACTAAGACTAAAACCAGGACTAAACTAGGACTAAACCAGGACTAACCCAGGACTAAACTAGGACTAAAACCAGGACTAAACCAGGACTAAAACCAGGACTAAACCAGGACTAAACTAGGACTAAAACCAGGACTAAACAAGGACTAAAACCAGGACTAAACCAGGACTAAACCGGGACTAAACTAGGACTAAAACCAGAACTAAAACTAGGACTAATCTAGGACTAAACCAGGTCTAAACTAAGACTAAAACCAGGACTAAAACCAGGACTAAACCAGGTCTAAACCAGGTCAGGTCTAAACTAAACTAAGACTAAAACCAGGACTAAACCAGATCTAAACCAGGACTAAAAAGACTAAACCAGGACTAAACCCGGACTAAACTAGGACTAAACCAGGACTAAACTAGGATTAAAACCAGGACAAAACATCTTTTCCATTTCCTGGTCTTTTCTTCTCTACAGTATAAACAGTTTCTTAATCATGAAGATTTGGGCTCAACAGACAATTTGATGAGAACAAACAAGAATTTTCAGGATGTGGTTCATTCATTCATGTAGTTTTAAAAAGCACGACAATATCAAGTAATCCAAAGTATTCAGATTACGTTACTCACTTTAAGTAATTTAATGGATTATGTTACAAACTACATTTTGGGGTATATAATCTGTAATCTGTAGGGGATTACATTTTAAAAGTCACCTTCCCAACACTGCTTATATGTCAGCCATTTTATTTATTTTTTCTTTTTGTCGTTGAATATCTTGGTCAATTTTATCTTTCAACTATAAATATAACTTAAATGAAGTTTTATTATTATTAACTTTAGCCATTATTTCAAACTGTAGCACCAATAATATCATACAGATGCATAAAATCATCTGTTATTCCTTCAAACACTTCATAAATCTGAGTTTTTTTTTATATGATTTAGATGTTTTATTGCTGGTTTTCAGATGACATCACAGAATTCTAGGCCAATATTATTTAATACAGATCAGATGGGAGCAGCTAAAATGAATAAATTGTTAAAAAAAATACAGTCAGTCTTGGGTTTGGTTAATAATACAAAATACCAGGTTCAATATTTGTGAATTTTGTTGTTATTTCACTGCAAAATACAGTGTAATCAATAGGGAAAATGAATCTATCAAAATGTAATAATAATTTAAATCTCCTCCTCCTTTCCTCTCTTCAGTTTGGCTGCTTGAATTTCCCGCTGTATCAAATAATAATAACAGTTTCGCTTTTGTAGCCTAATGTTAAAGCTTCATGTTACTGTTTCTTCAGAAAGACCAGAATTTCTGACGTTATCGTTGTGCGTAGTGTGTAAGTTTGTTCAGAATTCACATTTTAAACACGTCCAGAAGAGTTGACGAAAAAGACTGAAATCTTTTTATTTATAATTTGTCATTTTTGAGGTGAATGGATACCCAGCACATTAATAACTAAATAGACATAACAAAATATAAGACTAACACACATTCAAAGAGAAAAAACAAAACAAAACACAACAATAAGTAAATAAAAAGAAGAGACGACAAAAAATAAAAGTTTCTCAGTGCAGTGTTTGCATGTGTTTAATTACATTTTAGGGCTGTCAAAGCAAATTCACATTTACATATTTTCTGTTGACTTATATCTTTTGTTTGTTGGTTTGTTTGTTTTTGGGAACCACCAAACACACTGACACACACTGTAGATTATACAAGTGTTTACATGCACATACTTTTTGAAATTGTCCAACAGGATATTATTCTAAATCCGTGTGTGGTTCGTTCATCGTTTTTTAAAATTAAAACCAAAAATGAGAAAACGAAAAAACAACTTTTTTCTGCATTATTTGTCTCCAAAACTAAAATGAGAAAATAGATAATGGTAGTTTTCCATTTCCGTGAGTTAAACTGTGATGCTGGACTTTTGCGCCGCATGTGGACTGAACCAGGACTAAACCAGGACTAAACCGTTTTCAGTCCTGGTCTCAGTCCTGGTCCTGGCGTCAGTCCCGGTGTCAGTCCCGGTCTCAGTCCTGGTCTGGATCTCAGTCCAGGTCTCAGTCTTGGTCTGGTCCCGATCTCAGTCACGGTCTGGTCCTAGTCTGGTCCAGATCTCAGTCCTGGTCTCAGTCCCGGTCTGGTCCTGGTCTCAGTCCCGGTCTTAGTCCAGGTCTCAGTCCTGGTCCTGGTTCTAGTCCTGGTCCCGGACTCAGTCATGGTCTGGTCCGGGTCTAATTCCTGCTCTCAGTCCCGGTCTGGTCCCGGACCTGTTTTAGTCCTGGTTCAGTCCAGTGTCGCAATTTAAATCACGTAAACGTCCGTTTTTTTTGTTTTTGTTTGTTTTTTTCATTTGAACCCAAAATTGAAAACTGAAAAAAAAAGAATCGTTATTTGTTTTTTAGACAAAGTGAAGAAAATATTTTTTTTTTTTTCTTATTATTTTTGGTTTTATTTTGAAAAACGAATGAACGAACGACACACGGATTCGTTACAGCCCGAGTTTGTACAGATTTAAATTTGATTGTGGAAATTTTTGTACTCTGGTAAAATTTCTACTTTTGTGATTTGTTCATTGTGTCCATCTAAACTACAGTTCTGCTCTTTACTTACTGTATTTACCAGGAACGACCCAGCGGTTTATGGGCTTGTTATTTTCTCGTGTTAAAAACAAAATCAAAACAACTGTTGACGTTTCCTTGTGTCCAGGCGGCTGCGGCGTCCAGCAGCACAGAGAAGAGACGGATACAGAAGCTCGGGCACCGCGGGCTGCTGACCGAGGAGCAGGGAGCCAAGATGGAGCACCTGACCACCGCGAGGGCCACCTACGTCCTGCCCAGGGGCCCCGCGGTCAGGCTCACAGGTCAGTACGGCACCTGGGTTTATTCAGTGTAGGAATGTCACGATAAACACAACTACTGATACTAGGGATGGGCATTCGATTAAATTTTCTTAATCGATCGTCGGGAGAATTAACGATCGATTATCGATTAATCAGTAATGTTTTTATATTAAAATGATCATCATTATTATTACTATCTGCACTAATCTGCATAAATAAATTCAACTTTACGACATATAAACATAACGACTCTAGAGCCACATCAGCTGTTTGACATTATAATGTGTTTAATTCAGTTTTGTTCAAATCTCACAGAAACAAAACTTAAAACTGCATGGCTCATTTACATAAACTAAGTGAAGATAAAACTCCAGCTCTTGTGTCGCTGATGTGGTTCAACTTGTGTTGGATTAAAAGACATGACTCAGGTGAATACAGGTCAGTGTGACCAGATTTGTGTTTGTCAAAACCAGGACAGCGTACGGGGGGAGGGGGGCGGGGCCTCGTCATCCACATTGAGCGACTCTCACCTGGAAAAACTTTTTCCCACTGGACACAGAAACATATGTGCTGCTTTATCCACTGTGCACATGGACTCACACTTGTCCCAACGCAACGGAAAGTGTGGAATTTCTTGTACAAATCATCGTTAAATCCACATTTGTGCTTCGGTTCGTTACAGACTGACCCACTGTTTGTGTCTCGCTCCTTCTGATGCAGAGACACATGTACACACCTGTTTGTCCCCGGACACAGACGTTTGGTCACGCTACACACAGACACCTACATTCAGTTTGTCGATTAAAATGAACGTAATCGATGAAATTCTTAATGATCAATTATCGATCAATCAACTAATCATGCCCATCCCGTAGTACGAATTGTGCTGTACAAATAAACTTGCCTTGCCTTTTTTCATAACCAACTTGAAAATATTTAGTACAGTGGGACTGACATGATGGTTCGTTATGTTACTTTCAGTGGTGGAAAGAATCCTGAGGAGTTACGTGTGTGTAATTTGTGCGTAACTTGGTTTTAACTCGTGTGTAACGTGTGTGTGTCTCGTCCCTCTGCTCCAGGACGCAGACGAGAAAACTTGGAGCAGAACATCGCTCGGACCATAAGGTGAGACCGGGGACTGAAACTGTAAACTTAACCTGTAACTTGTGAGACACGTTCTTATAAGAAAGACAAATAAATCCTCTTACATTTTTAGCCAGACAATAGACCAGAATGTTGTTTTTTTTGTACGGAAAAACAGAAAACCGTGCGTCCTTACTGTGAGCACACGGGCAGATTAATGATACAATTTTGTTTATTTTTCATATGAAACACACTGCAAAAACCAAACACCATTTGACCCTTTATAAGAAAGGGTCAAATGGGATAAGAAGTTGGGTTTATGTTTTATGAATGGAGTCTGGGCAGGTCCAAAACAAGTGAGAGGTGGTTTAATTTTTCAGTTTGTGTCCATTGTTGTTACATCCCCTTTGCTACGGAAGAAAGGGAAGTAACAATAAAAAACAAGATGTTTAAGGTTTAACTAAAAATTTTACATTTTTTATTTACAGTCCAGGAAAAGGGAAAGAAAAACACAGAAATCTGGGGAGAAAATAAAAAGGATTTTAACAAAATAATCTACTAAACTAAGGAGCCCTAAGTACAACGCAACAAAATCTAACTAAAGTTTCACTGTGAAACATGGTGTTTCAACAAAATGAACAGAGGCAACAGCCGACATTATAACCAAAAACAAAATGAGACAAGCAAAAAATGAACCAAACACAAAAGGTGAGCTGACGGCAGGGATCCAGCCGCGCCGAGCAGGTGGAAGACTGTTCTTTTATACCCCGCACTCACAGGTGGAATCCGCAGATTGGTGGGGGCGGAAGGGTGACCGGTCAATCCCCGACTCGACCCGACGCTCAGCCTCCGTCCAGCGTCCGATGCTCCCGCGCATCCGGGTCCAGGGCTCGTGGCCCGAGCGCATCACACACCCACACAAGAGCAAACAGAGAAGAACAGGAGCACAATAAACAAATCCCAAAGGGCCGGGGCCTGTGCCAATTGTCCTTCTGAGATGATTGTTTAGTGGAGAACAGTGATGTAGAAGTTTGCAGCAGATTTCCCTTTTCTTGTTGGTGATGAGAGATTCGTGAGGTCTTGTCCAAACATTTTAGAGTCGGGCTCCGTTTGGGAGGTGCACTTGTGCTGATCGTCGCTCTTTTTCCACCACGACTCATTATAAGACAAGTTTAACTGAAGATGAAGCCGAGTATGTTCCTTTAGAGTTTGGTGCAGCGTCTTCACTCATGCTGCTCAAGACGACATGTTCAGGTGCGGTCCTGTCCTGCCGCTGCCCCAGTTTAGGCTCCTGGCTCCAGTAATGACATCACTCTGATGTAACCCTGTCGTCAAATCGCTGAACACATCTCAAAACATCTAAGAAACAAAATGTGAACTAAAACATATGAAATGAATTATTGAGTTTGGAAAAATATTGGAATACATTTTTATTTTTGTTTATTAAAATAAAATGGTAAATATTGGTCGGGACTATTTTGTCTTCCTCAAATATTGTTGTGACGTGTCCCCACCGTCCCTACGCAAACTTACGCCCTTGTGTGAGCAGGCTCGCATCTCCACAAACCTGACTTTTATGTTATTAGGTTCTTTTTTCAGACCAAGGGTTTGTTTTTTTATACCTGACAGTTTCGTCCTGCCTCCACCGGTCGGAAGACAGCGCCAAAACCTGTAGAAATAATCTCACAGCAACATCACGTGACGACTCTGAGGAAGAGCGATAGTGAGCAGTCGAAACTGTCAGGTCTGAAACAACAAACCCGTGGTCTCAAAGAAGAACCTAATAACATAAATTATCGGAAGACCAAATAACCCCATCGGAATAAACTTGACTTTTATGTGGTGTGGACTAGGGATGGGCATTCGATAAAATTTTCTTAATCGATCGCCGGGAGAATTAACGATCGATTATCGATTAATCATTAACGTTTTTATATTAAATTGATCATCATTATTATTATTACTATCTGTACTACTAATCTGCATAAATAAATAAACATAACAACTCTAGAGTCACATCAGCCCGTTTGACATTATAATGTGTTTAATTCAGATTTGTGCAAATCTCACAGAAACAAAACTTAAAACCTCATGAACAATTTGCATAAACTAAGTGAAGATAAAACTCCAGCTCTTGTGTTGCTAATGTGGTTCAACTTCTGTTGGATTAAAAGACATGACTCAGGTGAATACAGGTCAGTGTGACCAGATTTGTGTTTGTCAAAACCAGGACAGCGTACGGGGGGAGGGGGGTGGGGACTCGTCATCCACACTGAGCGACTCTCACCTGGAAAAACTTTTTCCCACTGGACACAGAAACATATGTGCTGCTTTATACACTGTGCACATGGACTCACACTTGTCCCAACGCAACGGAAAGTGTGGAATTTCTTGTACAAATCCTGGTTAAATCCACATTTGTGCTTCGGTTCGTTACAGACTGACCCACTGTTTGTGTCTCGCTCCTTCTGATGCAGAGACACATGTACACACCTGTTTGGTCACGATAAACATACATTCGGTTTGTCTATTAAAATGAACGTAATCGATGAAATTCTTAATGATCAATTATCGATTAATCGACTAATCATCCTCATCCCTGGTGTGGACGTAGTTTGCATAATAGAGTCAAAACAAACCTGAGACTTGTTTTTATTCATGCAGGGTCCAGTCTTCGTGTTCTGGGCTTGTTTCCCGTTGAGCAGCACAAATCACATTTCATTTTACATTTGTGTGTTTTTTTTTTTTTTTTAACTTACCAGATTCCAGTGCACTCTGTCACTCTACATCAGGGGTGTCAAACTCATTTTGTTCCGGGGGTCGTATCCAACCGACTTTGATCCCAAAGGGGCCGGATCAGAAAACTCATGTCATAAAACCCAAAAATAACAATAAGTTCAAATATTTGTGCAGAGAAACACAAATCTATTACAGAAATCTATTTTAATTGATGAACTCTTTCTTTTACAAATATTATAATATTATGAACAACCTGAAACTTTAAGAAAAATCAAGTTTCAACATTTTAACATGAACTTGTTTACAAATAAGAATAAGTCAATTTTTGTTGTAAAATCCTGCACTCGGCTCCACTTTTCTCATGTTGGACATTTTTCTGATGAGGGTGTCACGGTCAACAGTCAAAACGATCGTCCTTTAAGAGCGTTTGGAAAGAGACAAGTCTTCATTTGTGCTGCTCTGGTGGGAGGGGCCACGTACAGAGACGCTGGAGACGCTGCTGTGATAAACACCACAGAAAATTAACAAGATTTTAATAGAAAATATAATTAAAATATTTTAGTAGAAAATCAGCCGAGGGCCAGATTAAAGGTCTTGGAGGGCCGGATCCAGCCCCCGGGCCGTATGTTTGACACCTGTGCTCTACATGCATGTCACGCTTGTGTGTTCCGTCCTGACTCTGTGCGCTGTGTCCTCTGTTGTGTTTGTGTTGCAGAGAACAGATCGAGCTGCAGATGAAGTCTCCTCCGCGTGACCCGGTGTCCTGCTGCTCCGTCACCCACGAAAGCTTCAGCGTCGCGGGCTTTGTACCTCTGACAGAGCGCCTCACTCCGGTACACCGCCACACATCTGCTCTCCTCTGCTCTCACTCACCACACACACGGGACAGGACAGGTGCTGAAGACATGTAGACTCTGAACAGACGTTTGGACGACAGGGGCTCAGCTGGTTCTCAAATCCAGCTCTTAGTATAAACGTTGTTGGCTGAGCTCCACTGGTCCAGCGCCCTCAGATAAATACTGTTGTTGTGTCGTAGAACAAGACACTTAATCTACCTCGCCCCCAGTGTCTGTGTGCACTGGTGTGTGAATGGGTCAGTGGTTCCTTGACGTGAAGAGCTTTCAGTGCCTTAAAGGTAGAAAGCACCATTTACTAGGGATGTAACAATAACTGAAATATCGTGATATCGTATCAGCAATCACAATAATATCGTGGACCATCACAATATATCGAATTACGAGTCTCTTTGCTTAAATGAAGAGTTATGGTGCAGCAACAGTTAAAAAAAACGACAGAGAACTACATAGACCATGATGCTTTGCTCCATTTCAGTGCAGACGACAAGAAGAAATAACAGTTCTAACACTTTTAAATCTTAGATCTTCGGACTAAGTTTTGTCATGGTGTTTTAAGAGGAAAAAGTCACATATTAAGAGTTTTGTTTCCACGAAGTATCACATTAAATATCGTACCGTGAGGTAGGACTGGGTATCATTAAGAAGTTGCTCGATACATACCTCGATACACAGGCCATGATACGATACATATCTCGATACAGTGCACTTTCGATTCGATATGATATATTTCAAATCGATTCGATACAGTTCAAGAAAAAATAAAAGCTAAATCATGGCTGTGATACTAAAAGTCTTTGTTAAATCACTTCTTCTTGTGCAAAGTTCATATGAAACACAAACATTTTAATCACTACAACAGTGAAAATATCAAATGTGTCGCATAAATGAGTTTCCTTTCACTCCACAAGCAACAAAACTGTAGCTGTAACAAAATAATTTTGTAAAACACAACCTAAAAATACTCTTGGTGATATATCGATACAGCAGCCCACGATATCGATACTGTATCATCACATTAAAAAATACAATATATCGATATTCCGATATTTTTGCACACCCCTAGCTTTGAGTGCTTTAAAGGTAGAAAGCACCATTTACTAGGGATGGAACAATAACCGAAATATCGTGATATCGTATCATCAAAGTCACAATAATATCGTGGACCATCACAATATATCGAAACACAAGTCTCTTTGTTTAAATGAAGAGTTATGGTGCAACAACAGTTTAAAAAAAAGACAGAAGGAACTACATAGACCATGATCCTTTGCTCCATTTCAGTGCAGACGACAAGAAGAAATAACAGTTCTAACACTTTTAAATCTTAGATCTTTGGATTAAGTTTTGTCAAGGCGTTTTAAGAGGAAAAAGTCACATATTAAGAGTTTTGTTTCCACATTAAATATCGTACCGTGAGATTCATACCGTGATGATACTGTATCGTGAGACTTATATCGTTACACCCTTTTACCATTTACTTCTAGAATACACTGTTTTAAAAGTATCTTCTGCTAAATGTAAGTTTATTTAGGTCATGGTTAAGGTTTATTGGGGAATTTGTCCCACGCATTTGACCCGTTTGATCGTTCAGTGCTGCTGGGGCATCTCCTCATCTCCAGATCTTGAGCTGGTCTTGGTCAGGACCTTCACTGGATCATTGTGCCTATCGTGCTTGTTGGGTTTTGAGCTTTTGACTCTGTTATGATGGTTTCCTGTATTGTTCTGCATTTGAGGCTTTAGGGCTTTAAAAAAAAAATAAAATAAAATCACCTATCCCCTGTGACAAAGAGGGCCTTTGTCCCCATTTTTCACCTTAGTTCAGTTACATCTATCTATATCAACTAAACAGCTAAATAATAACTATCCCGGGTTTGTTTTATTTAGTCTTTGTTTAACTGATCACATTCACACAGTTACTTTAAATTCATTTTATTTGGTTATATCCCTTCATTTTTGTTTAAACTTACCACCTTTACCTGTGACTCCACATGGTCTGGGAACAAAAGAGGGGGCGTGTCCTTTGGCAGCCATATTTATAGGCTCAGGGGGAGGTGTTGGCCCAGACCATGTGGAGGGAAGCCTCGGAAATGGTTCTCTTTGTTTTATCAAATGGGTTATTAGAATTTTGGTTTCAGTGTATCTAGTTAAGTTGGACACTGTTCAGTTTAAAAGGGGGATTAGGCTTCAGAAAATAATTTAAGGCAGCACACCAGTAAGGAAAGGAAATTGCTACAGTTTTCCCCGTAAGTTGGTGTGAACCCAGGGGGAGGGACTTCCTCTCTGGGGGGTATATAAGTAGAGGCAGTTTAATCAGTAGGGAGGAGGTCACCATCAGTGCAGCCAGGTGCCTGTGGGTATTTTCTTTTGTTGCGTTATTTTCTGTTGCTTTTGTTTAGTTAAACACAGTTCTTTTTTTGTAAATATGTGTATAATTTTGCCCACGACTTGGAAGGATCCAATAAAGAATTTGGTTTGGTGAAGGACAACTTTGCACTGGACTCTCATTTTGACCACTTGGGCCAGCTTCCCCACATCCCCCCTGCCCATCGATAAACTCTGGGTGTTTTACTTGGTCCATGGATCGATCACAGTGTTCCGTCCTCTGGTACAAAACATCCTCGGCATTTTCCCTGTAGAGTAAATGTGAACACAAACTGCCTGTGAACAGCAGTTTTAAAAATGTCTGACTCGTCTGCTCGACTCTTTATAGTTCACATGTGTGTGTTTGTGTGATGTGGGAGTCTTGGTGCTGCTCTCTCGCTCTGTGTTTTCACGCTAACAGAGTCTGTTTCTGTGCAGGTGCATGACTACACCTCAGAGCCCAGCGTCACGTTCTGGAGCGAGAACCACCAGCACATACAGGTGAGTCCACAGAACCACCAGAACCACCAGCACATACAGGTGAGTCCACAGAACCACCAGAACCACCAGCACCACCAGCACATACAGGTGAGTCCACAGAACCACCAGAACCACCAGCACATACAGGTGAGTCCACAGAACCACCAGAACCACCAGCACATACAGGTGAGTCCACAGAACCACCAGAACCACCAGCACATACAGGTGAGTCCACCAGAACCACCAGCACATACAGGTGAGTCCACAGAACCACCAGAACCACCAGAACCACCAGCACATACAGGTGAGTCCACAGAACCGGGCATTTTTCCGGTGGGCCCACAGTCCTCAGGGGCCAATGTTGTGTTTTTTTTGTTTTTTTTTACTTCGAGCCCGGTCCAATGGTCCATCTTCAATACAGACAGTGGACTAAACCAATCAGGATACAGTTGCCGACGAAAGCGACCACAGCTCTTCCCACACTGAACGACTGAACCAGGTTTAAACCAGGTCTGAACCAGGACTAAACCAGGTCTAAACCAGGACTGTATTAGGTTTAAACCAGGATTGAACCAGGACAGAATCAGGTCTAAACCAGGTCTGGATCAAGTCTAAACCAGGACTGAATCAAGTCTAAACCAGGACTGTATCAAGTCTAAACCAGGACTGTATCGGGTCTAACCAGGACTGAATCAGGGGTCTAAACCAGGTCTAAACCAGGTCTAAACAGGGTCTAAACCAGGACTGAATCAGGTCTAAACCAGGACTGAATCAGATCTAAACCAGGTCTAAACCAGGACTGGATCAAGTCTAAACCAGGACTGAAAGTCTAAACCAGGACTGTATCGGGTCTAAACAGGGAACAGGTAAACAGGTCTAAACCAGGACTGAACCAGGTCTAAACCAGGACTGAACCAGGTCTAAACCAGGACTGAATCAGGTCTAAACCAGGACTGTATCGGGTCTAAACCAGGTCTAAACCAGGTCTGATCCAGGTCTAAACCAGGACTGAATCAGGTCTAAACCAGGTCTAAACCAGGTCTAAACCAGGACTGAATCAAGTCTAAACCAGGACTGTATCGGGTCTAAACCAGGACTGAACCAGGTCTAAACCAGGACTGAATCAGGTCTAAACCAGGTCTAAACCAGGACTGAATCAGGTCTAAACCAGGACTGAATCAAGTCTAAACCAGGACTGAATCAAGTCTAAACCAGGACTGAACCAGGTCTAAACCAGGACTGTATCGGGTCTAAACCAGGACTGAACCAGGACTGAACCAGGTCTAAACCAGGTCTAAACCAGGTCTAAACCAGGTCTAAACCAGGTCTGATCCAGGTCTAAACCAGGACTAAATCAGGTCTAAATTAGGTCTAAATCAGATCTGAATCAGGTATGAACCAGTAATTAGTAATTAACTTCAGGGAACACGTACATAAATTAGTCAGTTGTGTTGTGTTAATTATGAGGGGCCGGTCTAAGCCAAAAATGCCCGGACCGTTTTTTTTTTTTGTTTTTTTTTTTTTGTCCCAGTCCCACCCTGCAGGTGAGTCCACAAAACCACCAGCACATACAGGTGAGTCCACAAAACCACCAGCACATACAGGTGAGTCCACAAAACCACCAGCACATACAGGTGAGTCCACAAAACCACCAGCACACACAGGTGAGTCACAAAAACAGCACACAGGTGAGTCCACAAAACCACCAGCACAAACAGGTGAGTCCACAAAACCACCAGCACAAACAGGTGAGTCCACAAAACCACCAGCACAAACAGGTGAGTCCACAAAACCACCAGCACAAACAGGTGAGTCCACAAAACCACCAGCACAAACAGGTGAGTGCACAGACGTAAAGTACATAACATGTTTATTTCATGATAAAACGTAAATAAATATAAACGTAAAATTAGGTTGTTGTGTGTTTAACGTTGTTTCCTCATTAAACAGACCTGGAGTTGTGTTTTGTTTCATCCACACACACTTAACAAAAAAGAAAAAAAAAAAAGCTGTTAATTTGAAAACTACGTCTTCATGACATCACAAGGTGGACCCGAGCGTTTTGAGCTTCGCAGACGTACACAGACTCATAATAAAGAGTCACTCAAACATGTGAATGAAACAAAAGTCCAGCTCCAGGTCTGTTTTAACATCATGACGTCGTGTTCCCTAGAGACCAGACTGTAAACACGGGCCAAAGCTCCAGGTCTAGTTTACACACTAGTCCTGATTTGACACCGGAATTTATGTGCCGGGGTCAAAAAACTGTGTGAATGGTCCTCTGTGTACTGAAACATTCCTGTTCAGCTCTGTGTTTCTTCGTGTGATACTTTTGACGAGTCGTGTTCACAAAGTGCCACGGGGCTGATGTGGAGCTGTGATAAACACTCAGCCGCACGACGCTCCGGCTGAAGTATTATTGCCTCTAATGGGTCCGTGTGAAGAGTCCCAGACCGGACCCCAGTGCTCTTATAAGGAGAAGAGCGAGTGCGCGAGGATCCACTGCACACTGTCAGTGTGAAAGAGCTCTGAGCCCAGACACACACACTGAACCAAACAAAGTACTGGAGTTTCTGCACTGTACGGGCTCTGGAGTATAAATCACACTGTCATTGAATGGTCTGTTTTCAAACTTTTTTCACAAATAAACCAGGACTTTAAATGTTCCACCTCATGTAAAATAACTCTTTTCACATTGTATCTTCTGCACATAAACAAGCACAGTTTGGGTTTGAAGTGTTTTCTGCCACGTCAAACGCGTCACAGGTGAATCTGCCGCGTCATCGTCGTAGCAGCTTTAGTTCACGTGGCAGAAATCAATCTAAAAACACTTCAGGACTAAACCTGGACTAAACCTGGACTAAACCAGGACTAAACCAGGTCTAAACCTGGACTAAACCAGGACTAAAACCAGGACTAAACCAGGTCTAAACCAGGACTAAACCAGGACTAAACCAGGTCTAAAACCAAGACTAAACCAGGTTTAAACCAGGACTAAAACCAGGACTAAACCAGGACTGGACTAAACCAGGTCTAAACCAGGACTTAAAACCAGGACTAAACCAGGACTAAACCTGGACTAAACCTGGACTAAAACCAGGTCTAAACCAGGACTAAACCAGGGACTAAACCAGGACTAAACCAGGACTAACTAACTAAACCAGGACTAAACCAGGATTAAAACAGGTTTAAACCAGGTCTAAAACAGGACATAATTTAAAGCATCAGTGTCTCATATAAAAATCATTTCTCTGTCAATAATATTTTTAATCTGGTTAAGGAAAAAGTCTGGACTTTTTGTATTTTTTAGCAGATTAAACATCTTCATCTTTGTTTCTCTACAATAAAACAAAAGTCTGTTCATGGAGACTTGGGCTCAACAGACAATTTGAAGAAAACAAACGTGAATTTTCAGGATGTGGTTGGTTCATTCATGCAGTTTTAAAAAGCACGACAATATCAAGTAATCCAAAGTATTCAGATTACATTACTCACTTTAAGTAATTTAATGGATTATGTTACAAACTACATTTTGGTGTGTGTAATCTGTAATCTGTAGGGGATTACATTTGAAAACTAACCTTCCCAACACTGCATGTGGATGTGTTGGAGGTATTTTCTCTCATATGAAATGCGGATGACGTCCTTCTGTGTCTCTCAGGGGGTGACTCCGGTGCGGTCCCCAGGCGCCCCGTTCAGGAAGTGCTCACAGTTCAGCCGACCAATCGGTGAGCGCGTGGACGATCCGGCCCCGCCCCCCGAGGACTGACGGCGAGTAACAGCTCATCAAGAGTTTAATAAAGACTGATCCATGGCAAAGGTCAGTGACGAGGAGGACGAGGACGAGGAGGAGACGTCAGCCGCAAACACCAGGTCACCGATGTGTCTCCTCTTGTGTTCATGTTTTTGAAAGGATAAAAACATTTGTAATTGAATAAATGCAGTTTTTATTATTCTACTCTGAGATGGTTTAATAGCAGGGATGTAACAATAACCGAAATATTGTGATCAAAAGTCTCTCAGTGATATCGTGAGCCGTCATAATATATCGACTTACAAGTGTCTTTGCTTAAATGAAGAGTTAAGGTGCAGCAACAGCTAAAAAAAAACAGAGGGAACTACATAGACCATGATCCTTTGCTCCGTTTTGGTTCAAACTACAAGAAGAAATAACAGTTCTAACACTTTTAAGTCTTAAGTCTTAGTCTTTGGATTAAATTTTATCAAGACATTTTAAGAGGAAAAAGTAGGATAATCTGGTTTAGTCCTGGTTTAGTTTAGTCCTGATTTAGACCTGGTTTAGTTCTGGTTTAGTCCTGGTTTAGACCTGGTTTAGACCTGGTTTAGTCCTGGTTTAGTCCTGGTTTAGTCCTGACCTGGTTTAGACCTGGTTTAGTCCTGGTTTTAGTTTCCTGGTTTAGACCTGGTTTAGACCTGGTTTAGACCTGGTTTAGTCCTGGTTTAGACCTGGTTTAGACCTGGTTTAGACCTGGTTTAGACCTGGTTTAGACCTGGTTTAGTCCTGGTTTAGTCCTGGTTTAGTCCGGTTTAGACCTGGTTTAGACCTGGTTTAGTTTCCTGGTTTAGACCTGGTTTAGTCCTGTTTAGACCTGGTTTAGTTTAGCCTGGTTTAGTCCTGGTTTAGTCCTGGTTTAGACCTGGTTTAGTCCTGGTTTAGTTTCCTGGTTTAGACCTGGTTTAGTCCTGGTTTAGACCTGGTTTACCTGGTTTAGTCCTGGTTTAGACCTGGTTTAGACCTGGTTTAGACCTGGTTTAGTCCTGGTTTAGTTTAGGTTTAGTCCTGGTTTAGTCCTGGTTTAGTCCTGGATTAGACCTGGTTTAGTCCTGGTTTAGTCCTGGTTTAGTCCTGGTTTAGACCTGGTTTAGACCTGGTTTAGTCCTGGTTTAGTCCTGGTTTAGTCCTGGTTTAGTCCTGGTTTAGTCCTGGTTTAGACCTGGTTTAGTCCTGGTTTAGTCCAGATCACTGTGGGATTTTTCGGGGGATTCTAGTATCAGTGTCGTCTGTTCTTTAGTTTTGAAATCGAGATGATAATTTTAGTTCATGTTTCAGTCCATTTTACGATCGTCTCATTTTCCTTCATTCATCTTTTCGTGTGTGGACTGAACCAGTAATTAGCTCGTTAGACGGCGGCGGCGTTGGCGTCCTCCCACGCGCCGCTCACGTCTCACCGCCCGCCAGGACAAAAGAGGCTGCGGACGCGGCCTGTCAATCAAGCCTTTCCACAGCGGTAACTATGGCGACGCAGTCTTGGCCCAAACATGTCATTATCTGAGCACGTGCAGCCGGCGGAACACTGCGCACGAGACTCGCCCGGTTACCACAAGGTTTGGGGTTCAGTCTCCACAAAGAGCGTCTGACCCCGGACTCTCGTTACACCTGGAGCTGTTCTGGTCTCCTCGGTGATGATCTGTAAACGTCCTCACACAGAAACACAGAAGAGCAGGAGCAGTTTCTGTTATTAACTGGATCTGAATCGATGATGTTAGTTTGTGTGATGTGGACTGAGACACAGACGAGTCACAGCGCCGTAACATGACACAGTTTAGACTTGTATCTGTATTGATTAGGGGTGTAACGATATACAAGTCTCACGATACGATATTGTCACAGATATTTATTGTGATATCGTGGGAAAGCTCACTGTGACGGATGCTGTCCTCGTTGTATTTTTCTTGCCTCACCTCAGATCCACCCACCCCGGATCCGCCCGCTCATCAGCCTCACCTGAGTTGTTTATTTTCGTGTTACCTTTATCTACGTTTTGTACACCTTTTTAGCACTTTCTTTTTTGTAATAAATATCCTTCTTTTTTCACCTCGCCACGCTTCCCGTTTTGTTCCACTCCCGGTTCATTTTTAACATCTTTTTCAGTTACGGTGCCGCCCCCTTGGCTCCCGTGACACGTAACACTCACGATATCATGATATTATACATAATAACAAAAGTGACACTATAAAAAGCTTTGCGCATCATTTGTTAAAACATTTATTGTCATTTTCATATCAGTGACATTTTGAACAGATTGAAAGACTTTGAAGTTGAAGTGCAAAATTCAGGTAACAAATAAACAATGTTTTAGTTGGACTTTGGTGAACTACAAAGCTGCGTTACAGCTGTCAGAGTCTGGAGTCTCGTGGAGTTAGTCCGACAGAAACTGAACCGCATCAGGAGGAGCTGTTTTTATTCAGGTTTATGCCTGTAAAATGTAAACAAAGCTGCTTTAAACATATTATTTCTCAGTGTATATTTGAGTCGTCCTCTAGGAAATAAAACAGACTTAAATGTGATGGCATTTTATATTTCAGCTCCAGTTTATCCACTAACCTTTTAAACCTGACGTCATCCAAAACATGTGTAAATGTGTTTATGTAAAAACATGACTTGACCAATGTGTTTGTTTGTTTGTGTGGTGCTTTGTGTTGTGTTGTTTTTTGATAAAGCCTGTTACCCCGTGTCCCAAGAGAAATTTCTCCCATGAGAGACAATAAAGGATGATCTTATTTTACAAACACGTCATATTTCAAAGCTCTTTATGACACAAAACGGATTCTTTTGGGCTTTAAGTCGTGTTCTAGTGTTGTTCCCTCCTCAGAAACAGAGCTGGAGTTGTTGTTTCGCTTCATTCACATGTTTGAGTCACTCTTTATTATCAGTCTCCAAAGCTCAAACTGTGACCCTTAAAACACACTCCCTTATGTAACAGATAATACTCCTTTACTTATGTAACAGATAATACTCCCTACAACTGTACAACAACTCACCCTTATGTAACAGATAATACTCCCTACAACTGTACAACAACTCGCCTTATGTACAACTGTCACCTAATCCACAGTGTAACAGATCAGACTTCCTTAGCTCCTCCCGTTACAGAGACATAGTCCCACTCCTCCCTGGGACATGCAGAAACTCCTGAGAAGGCGCCCAGGAGGCATCCGGAACAGATAGAAGCTCAACTGCTCCTCTCGACGTGGAGGAGCACGGCTCTACTCCGAGCTCCTCCCGTGTGACTGACTCCTCACCCTGTCTCTAAGGAGCGCCCAGCCACCTGCAGGAACTCATTTCGAGCGCTTGTATCCGCGATCTCGTCCTTTCGGTCACTACCCAGAACTCATGACCATAGGTAGAGTAGGAACGAAGACTGACCGGTAAATCGAGAGCTTCGCCTTTCGACTCAGCTCCCTCTTCACCACAACGGTCCGATACACGACCGCATCACTGCCCTGCACCGATCCGCCTGCAATCTCACCTCCTTCCCTCACTGTAACAAGACCCCGAATACTTACTCCTCCACTTACAAGACTCCCCCACCCGGAGAGGGCAAGCCACCTTTTCCGGTCGAGAACATGGCCTCGGACTTGGAAGAGCTGATCTTCATCCCAGCCGCTTCACACTCGGCTGCAACCGCCCATGCACATTGCAGGTCCTTTCGATGAAGCCAACAGGACAACATCGTCCGCAAACAGCAGAGATGAAATCCTGTGGTCCCCAAACCGACCCCCTCCGGCCCCTGACTGCGCCTAGAAATTCTGTCCATAAACACAATGAACAGAACCGGTGACAAAGGGCAGCCCTGGCGGAGTCCAACATGCACGGGAACAGGTCTGACTTACTGCCGCAATGCGAACACAGCTCCTGCTCCGGTCGTAAGGGACCGGACAGCCCTTAAAGGCCCCGACCCCCTTCGAATGCCTTCTCCAGATCCACAAAACACTGGACTGGGGCAAACTCCTCCCGATGGAGAGTGTAGAGCTCACCCTTATGTAACAGATAATACTCCCTACAACTGTACAACAACTCATCCTTATGTGACAGATAATACTCCCTACAACTGTACAACAACTCACCCTTATGTAACAGATAATACTCCCTACAACTGTACAACAACTCACCCTTATATAACAGATAATACTCCCTACAACTGTACAACAACTCACCCTTATGTAACAGATAATACTCCCTACAACTGTACAACAACTCACCCTTATGTAACAGATAATACTCCCTACAACTGTACAACTCACCCTTATGTAACAGATAATACTCCCTACAACTGTACAACTCACCCTTATGTAACAGATAATACTCCCTACAACTGTACAACAACTCACCCTTATGTAACAGATAATACTCCCTACAACTGTACAACAACTCACCCTTATGTAACAGATAATACTCCCTACAACTGTACAACTCACCCTTATGTAACAGATAATACTCCCCACAACTGTAACAACTCACCCTTATGTAACAGATAATACTCCCTACAACTGTACAACAACTCACCCCTTATGTAACAGATAATACTCCCTACAACTGTACAACAACTCACCCTTATGTAACAGATAATACTCCCTACAACTGTACAACAACTCACCCTTATGTAACAGATAATACTCCCTACAACTGTACAACAACTCACCCTTATGTAACAGATAATACTCCCTACAACTGTACAACAACTCACCCTTATGTAACAGATAATACTCCCTACAACTGTACAACAACTCACCCTTATGTAACAGATAATACTCCCTACAACTGTAAAACAACTCACCCTTATGTAACAGATAATACTCCCTACAACTGTACAACAACTCACACTTATGTAACAGATAATACTCCCTACAACTGTACAACAACTCACCCTTATGTAACAGATAATACTCCCTACAACTGTACAAAACTCACCCTTATGTAACAGATAATACTCCCTACAACTGTACAACAACTCGCCCTTATGTAACAGATAATACTCCCTACAACTGTACAACAACTCGCCCTTATGTAACAGATAATACTCCCTACAACTGTACAACAACTCACCCTTATGTAACAGATAATACTCCCTACAACTGTAACACAACTCACCCTTATGTAACAGATAATACTCCCTACAACTGTACAACAACTCACCCTTATGTAACAGATAATACTCCCTACAACTGTACAAACAACTCACACTTATGTAACAGATAATACTCCCTACAACTGTACAACAACTGTTACATAAGGGTGAGTTGTTGTACAGTTGTAGGGAGTATTATCTGTTACATAAGCGTGAGTTTTACACGACGGGTCAAATGCAGAGGACACTTTTCTCTCTCTCATTAAACTTATTTTGCCCGTAAACTTAACTGTCATCTGGAGTCTCACTCGCGTTCACTGTTGTTGTGTCTTTGGGCATGACACTTCACCTCCCGTGTGCGTCTCCGCGGTGCCGTGAGCGTCCAGTCGTGTTAAGAGTTTGTGATGAATGCGAGCGCTCGGCCTCTCGGCGGACCTGCTGCTCCTTTTCCTTTTTGGTCTCGTTGTGTTTTTCGGGGGAGAAACGCGTTTGTTTTTTTGCTTTGTTAAACCGTTGGTCTTCACGGCCTCACAGACCGAAGCCACGTTCAAATATTCAGACCAAAGAACAAAGGCAAATCAGCTGGAGTCCGCGGTCGTGCAGGGACCAGCGGTGGTGTTGTGTGTTTTTTTTTTTAAGTGGGGGAACATGATTCGTGATGTGACCAGAAGGCGACAGTCCAGTAAAAATCTGTAATATTTTATTTTTATTTATTTTTTTTACTCAAAATGATGCGGAATCATTTTATTAACATTAACACATTTATAATCACCTACAAAACATAAACACAGACGACAGCACATGAACCAGGACTAAACCAGGACTAAACCAAGTCTAAACCAGGACTAAACCAGGACTAAACCAAGTCTAAACCAGGACTAAACTAGGACTAAACCAGGACTAAACTAGGACTGAACCAGGACTAAACTAGGACTAAACTAGGACTAAACTAGGACTAAACTAGGTCTGAACCAGGACTACACCAAGTCTAAACCAGAACTGAACCTGGACTAACCCAGGACTAAACCAGGACTAAACTAGGTCTAAACCAGGACTAAACTAGGTCTAAACCAGGACTAAACTGGGTCTAAACCAGGACTAAACCAGGTCTAAACCCGGTCTAAAACCAGGACTAAACCAAGTCTAAACCAGGACTAAACCCAGGACTAAACAGGACTAAACTAGGACTAAACCAAGTCTAAACCAGGACTAAACTAGGACTAAACTAGGACTAAACGAGGACTAAACAAGGACTAAACTAGGACTAAACCAGGACTAAACAAGGACTAAACTAGGAGCCAGGTTGACATATTCAACCCGGACCAGACCTAGACTGAGACCAGCCCGGGACCAGACCGGGACCAGACCGAGACTGAGATCAGAACTGTGACCAGGACCAGACTGAGACTGAGACCAGACCGGGACCAGGCCAGGACCAGACCCAGACTGAGACCCGGAACTGAGACCGGGACCAGGCCGGGACCAGACCGGAGGCTCAGAGCCCAAGGCAGGACAGGAGCTCGAAGCTGAGGCTCAGACCCTGCGGAGGCTTGGAGTCAAAGCTCAGAGTCTCGCTCTGGTCCCAGTCTGGTCCCAGTCTGGTCCGCTCTGGTCCGCTCTGGTCCCTCTGGTCCCAGTCTGGTCCAGTCTGGTCCCAGTCTGGTCCTGGTCCGCTCTGGTCCCGCTCTGGTCCCGCTCTGGTCCCGCTCTGGTCCCAGTCTGGTCCCAGTCTGGTCCCGCTCTGGTCCCGCTCTGGTCCCGCTCTGGTCCGCTCTGGTCCCAGTCTGGTCCCGCTCTGGTCCCAGTCTGGTCCCGCTCTGGTCCCAGTCTGGTCCCGCTCTGGTCCAGTCTGGTCCCGCTCTGGTCCCGGTCTGGTCCCAGTCTGGTCCCGCTCTGGTCCCGCTCTGGTCCCGCTCTGGTCCCGCTCTGGTCCCAGTCTGGTCCCAGTCCCGCTCTGGTCCCGCTCTGGTCCCGCTCTGGTCCCGCTCTGGTCCCAGTCTGGTCCCAGCTCTGGTCCCGCTCTGGTCCCGCTCTGGTCCCAGTCTGGTCCCAGTCTGGTCCCGCTCTGGTCCCGCTCTGGTCCCGCTCTGGTCCCGTCTGGTCCCGCTCTGGTCCCTGACCTGGATCAGTCCTGGTTCAGTCCGTATGCAGTGCAAAAGTCCAGCATCGCAGTCAGGGAAGACACGTTATCCATTTTTTCCCATTTTTCATTTAAACACAAAATCGAAAACTGAAAAAACTGAATAAACTGATCGTTATCAATTTTTTCATTTTGGTTTTGGAGACAAATAATGAAGAAAATAGTTGTTTTTTCATTTTCTTATTTTTGATTTTATATTGAAAAACGAATGAACGAATGACACACATAAATTCTAAGTTTCGTTTCTGTGAGACTTGAATTAAACACATTATAATGTCAAACAGGCTGATGTGGCTCTAGAGTCGTTATGTTTATATGTTGTAAAGTTGAGTTTATTTTAATAGTTATTTTACTATTAGTAATAGTAATAATAATGATGATACTTATTATATATTAAAAAAAGATTAATCAAAAATCAATCGTTAATTTTCCAGATGATTGATTAATAAAATTTTATTAAATGCCCATCCCTAGTCCATGTCGTTTACTCTGCGCCACAGGAGTCGACTTAAACTTATTATTTTTGCTGAAAGACACACAGTTTAATACGAGACGAGACCTGATGATATCGTGAAATCGTCAATATGGTTACACCTCTAGTGTCTATACTTGGTTAAATGAGCGTCGAGTTTCGATACTGTTTCTGAAAACCCCAGAGTCACAGGAGTAAAACAGTAAAATACAAAGTGCAGTACTGGAAAAAGACAGTATTTATTGAACAAAATATCTTACAGATTCCTGGATATACATATATACAAACTGTACTGTGTGACCCTGCAGTCGGACTGTGCCCCCAAAAACCTCCTCGGGTGTGAACATCTGACATAAGGAAATACTCTCACATCATCCACTTCCAAATACAATACAAATTCTGAATATAGAAAGCACAAAAAATAAGATCTCATTTGTGAAAAGTACTGGGACGGCGCTCCTTCATACAAAACGATACTTTTACAATAACAGCTGGTAAAAATAGCTCGTGTTCCTGATTTTAGAAGGATCGGAACAAGACGTGGGCTCAGATCACGTACACGTCGGTCTTCTCCCCCAGGAGCCAGTAGGTTCTCATCTTCCCTTTGCCCTGCGCAGAGGAAGCACGATCAATGCACTGTGCTACGGGATACGGACGCTTTCACTGTCATCAGCTAAAAGGAGCATTAACGAGTGACCCTGAACGCACCGTACACACAACCAGACGCACACACACACACACACAAACAAAGACACACTCGGGTCAGAGGGAGGACGCTGAAGCAGACACAGAGCGTTGTATTTACTGGGAAACAGTGGGTTAAATGTTTTAAATGTTTGTTTTTTTTAAACATTTACCTGCTCAAATGAGAATCTTGTTGTTGAGTCTTTATTATATTATGATTTATTATTATTATTATTATGAGTCTAAATTAGAGCCCCAAACCATTAAAACAGTGCAGCGCGGGACACATTTTGAAAGTTGACAACGGGCGCAGGCGGGAGCAGGACTGCACAGAGCGGGAGTGGGTGGATGGGATGATAAACTGCAGTTCCGCAAACTAAATAAGAATGTAAAGTAAATAAGAATATCATGCATAATTTGTACCGGAGATTTTATTTGGCATTAATAAAAACTTTTTAAGCAGCAGACAGTCCCCCCCGTCCTGTACGCCGCGCGGTGTACGGGACGGGGGGGGTCTGTCCGTGCGGCGTACGGGACGGGGGGACGGTCTGCTCGGTGTACGGGACGGGGGGGTCTGTCTGCGCAGCGTACGGGATGAAGGGGTCTGTCCGTGCGGCGTACAGGACGGGGGGGTCTGTCCGTGCGGTGTACGGGACGGGGGGGTCTGTCTGCGCGGCGTACGGGATGAAGGGGTCTGTCCGTGCGGCGTACAGGACGGGGGGGTCTGTCCGTGCGGTGTACGGGACGGGGGGGTCTGTCTGCGCGGCGTACGGGATGAGGGGTCTGTGAAGGGGTCTGTCCGTGCGGCGTACGGGATGAAGGGGTCTGTCTGCGCGGCGTACAGGATGGGGGGGTCTGTCCGTGCGGCGTACGGGACGGGGGGACGGTCTGCTGCTTAAAAAGTTTTTATTAATGCCGTGCAGACTGTCTCCCTCGTCGCATACGCCATGCAGACCGTCTCCCCTGTCCTGTACGCCGCACGGATAGTCCCCCCGCATCCAGTATGCAGTGCCAACCGACCCACCCGTCCCGTACGCCGCGCGGACAATCCCCCGTCCTGTACGCCGTGCGGGCTGCGCCACTAAACCAGGACAAAACCAGGTCTAAAAACAGGACTTAGCCAGGTGATTTAGTCAGGACTTAACCACGCCGCCGGACCGCCCACCGCACCTCCTCCCATACGCAGCACAATTCCTTCCGCTTCTCCGTGTTTGATAATAGTTTAAGAAAGTAAAGGTTCCCATCCTGCAGGAATTGTGGGCGGGAGTGGGAAAAATATTGCAGATGCGGGCGGAAGCAGGATTGAAAATTAAAATTTTTTGCGGGAACGGGCGGGAGCAGGACTGCACAGTGCGGGAGCGGGACTGAAAATTCTGTCCCGCACAGACCTCTAGTCTAAATAATAATAATTGTATTTCTTAGGTGCTTTGTGTCTTGTTTTTATTTTCTCTTTTTTCACTCTTAGCCGAAACAAACCGTTTATTATGACATCGGTACCTTCATTTCTACATCTCCTCGTAGCTGTAGATCGAAGTAGCCAAACTCGTCCAGGACTTCTTTGGTGGCAGACGACATGTGGATCCTCAGAGCTGAAAAACAACAAGAAACCATCGTAAGAACCTTTTGATTAACTCCACATAGGGACATAGACACCGGAACCCTTTTATTAAAGGTTGTATGGAGGATTTTTTTTTAGTTTGAAATTGTCATTGAAAGTTTAAAATACAATTACAGAGATGTAGCAGCCTTGTAATTATGATGATCAAAAAAAAAAAAAAAGAAAATCTATCAACTGTGGACGTAGTGAGGCCAGATAAACATCAGCCAATAGATAACAGGGCTCCCTCATTTTCTATTGGCTGTTAGGTCGTCAATCAAACTCTCTAGTGTAACTGACTCTCCGGCGCATGGGGATTACGTGGTTTATGCAGTGGTTCTTAGAGACTTTTTCTAACTGTCGCTTCCTTGCAGTTCGCACAAAGTTTGTTGCGATGGTGGACGAGAATCCACGACCAGTTCGCCGCAAAAGAAAGTCAGTTTTGAGGTCGCTGAAAGACGAAGAGAAGAGGAAAAGGAGCGAAGACAAACTGAGGTGATTCTTGGAGATCTCGTCCAGCGATGACGCGACTGAAGCAGACGAAGGGTTTAAAAATCGGACGCGTCGGTCGCTAAATTACCTCTAGACGGGTCACTTCAACAGTAATTCTGAACGCGCACTGGATGTAAACAAGCATGATTTCTAGAGTAAAGAGGCAGGAGGAGATGTTTCTACTGAGGGAGCTGTGAAGGAAGAAGATGGTGTCACGCATGCACAACATTTGAAAAAGGACTGTCGGTGTATTTGTCTTCCCTTAAAAAATCCTCTATACAACCTTTAACTCCACATGGGCCATGACACGATACACATCTCGACACACTGCACTTTCAATACGTCTGGAGCCGTTTTCCATCGGATTAGTGTGAACGAACTCTGCATCCACAACCAAAACGACTCGAATACGAACTAGTGTGAACTGTGGTCCTACATCCAAAGTTCCGGACTGTCCCTTTAACTCAACACAGGCCACAATAGGATACTTTTAAGTCTTTGTTAAACCATTTCTTGTGCAAAGTTCAAATGAAACACAAACATTTTTATCCTCAAAACTGTGAAAATGTCAAATGTGTCGCATAAACAACAACAATAAAACTGTAGCTGTAACTAAATAATTTTGTCAAATATACCAAAATTACTCTTGGTGATATATCGATACAGCAGCCCACGATATCGATACTGAATCATCACATGAAAGGATATGATATTTGGATGTTTAGGTATTTTTGGACACTGTTTTTGCACAGTAGGAGGCGTTGAACCCGTCACTCGTCCGGCGTTGCAGTGGGATGTGCAGAGGCAGCAGAGACCTGAGCCCCGGACGCTCTCAGGAACATTTATTATTCAGCAGAGCAGCAGAAAACAGGAAGCCCGGGATCGACCGGAGCATCGGGAGCAAGAGCACAGCGGCACAGGAGCACAGCGGCAGAGCTAACCAGGCACAAGAGCACACGGGTTTGTCTGTGTGTAACTCCAGGAAGAATAATCCTTTTTTTTTCATCGAACCACAAATGACAAACGCTGCGTGTTACTAGAGAGAGAAAAGAATTATTATTTACTCAGCGAGAGTCTAAAGAATTGATTTTCACTCTGAGTTCACAGAGACGAGAGAGAGAGACAAGAGAGACGAGAGAGAGAAAGAGACGGGAGAGACGAGAAAGAGAGAGAGAGATGAGAGACAGGAAAGAGAGAGAGACAGGAGAGACAAGAGAGACGAGAGAGAGACAAGAGAGAGAAAGAGAGAGACAAGAGAGAGAGAGACAAGAGAGAGAAAGAGACGGGAGAGACGAGAGAGAGAGATGAGAGACAGGAGAGAGCGAGAGAGATGAGAGAAAGAGAGAGACAAGAGAGACAGGAGAGACATCAGTGAGAGAAAGATGAGAAAGACAGGAGAGAGGAGAGAGAAGGAGAGACAGGAGAGACGAGAGAGTCGAGAGAGAGAAGAGAGACAAGAGAGGAGAGACAGGAGAGACATCAGAGAGAGAGACGAGAGAGAAAGACAGAGAGACAGCAGAGACAGGAAAGAGAGAGAGATGAGAGACAGAGAGAGAGAGAAACAAGAGAGAAAGAAAGACAGCAGAGAGAAAAAGAGAGACAGGAAAACAGGAGAGAGAGAGAGAGAGAGAGAGAAGAGAGAGAGAGAGAGAGAGAAGAGAGAGAGAGAGAGAGAGAGAGAGAGAGAGAGAGAGAGAGAGAGAGAGAGAGAGAGAGAGACATTTTCAACCAAAACAGTGTGAGTTTGGCAGAACGAAGAAAACTGTTCAATGATGATGTCATGACACACACACACACACACACACACACTATCAACACACACACACTTTCACCACACAGACACACACACTATCACACACACACACACACTATCAACACACACACACACACTTTCACCACACACACACACCACACACACACACACACTTTTACTACACACACACACTTTACACACACAGACACACACACACTTTTACTACACACAGACACACACACACACACTTTTACTACACACAGACACACACACACTTTTACTACACACACACACACACTTTTACTACACAGACACACACACTTTTACTACACACAGACACACACACACTTTCACACACACACACACTTTTACTACACACAGACACACACACACTTTCACACACACACACACTTTTACTACACACACAGCACACAACTTTCAACACACACACACTTTTACTACACACAGACACACACACACACTTTTCAACACACACACACTTTTACTACACAGACACACACACACTTTCAACACACACACTTTACTACACAGACACACAGACACACTTTTTACACACACACACACTTTCAACACACACACATACTTTTACTATACAACACACACACACTTTCAACACACAGACACACTTTTACTACAACACACACACACTTTCAACAACAGAACACACACTTTCAATACACACACACACACACACTTTCAACACACACACACACTTTTACTACACACACACATACTTTTACTATACACACACACACACACACTTTCACACACAGACACACACACTTTCAACACACACACATACTTTTACTATACACACACACACACACTTTCAACACACAGACACACACTTTTACTACACACACACACACACACACTTTTCACACACAGACACACACACTTTCAATACACACACACACACACACTTTCAACACACAGACACACACTTTCAACACACACACATACTTTTACTATACACACACACACTTTCAACACACAGACATACACTTTTACTACACACACACACTTTTACTACACACACACACACACACACTTTCAACACACAGACACACACACAGACTTTTACTACACACACACACACTTTTACTACACACAAACACACACACACTTTCAACACACAGACACACACTTTCAACACACAGACACACACTTTCAACACACAGATTCATTACAGAGATTCACTTTTACTACACAGATTCACTATCTAGAGATTCACTGTAGATTGATTCTGGCATTTTAGAGTTTTCTCTTTGTTTACAGACGTGTTCAAAAGTCTGTCCCTGACCCTGACGAAGCCACAGACCTGTACGACCGGACTGGATTAAAGGGTCAGCGCGGTCACTTTGGTGCTCACCCTGGTTTATTCGCACTACACTTTCTTCTTCTGTCTTGTGCGTTCGCTTGTTTTTTTGCACTTTCGTATTGTATGTGTTTCTTTTTAACGTCATTACATTTGTACAAACATGAGCATGTGCCCCGACCGTAGCAGCGTGTTCTCATCTTTTCTCCGCGGTTCACTTAGAGTACAGAATAAACAAAAGGAACATAACGGTTAGAGAAATGAAAAATGTCACAAAAGCGTTCCCGCCGCGCCGACGTGG